TCCCTCCCATTACAAATGGATTCGCCACACTGAGTCATTCATGACATGTCAATTAACTTAACGTGATGGCCGTTAATCTTCAGCGCTTAAAGAAAAAGATGATGAAAACTCGTTTCAATGCATTTAAATCAGTAGGCTGAAAATGCACTAAATTGCTGAAATAATAAGTAAAAGTAAGAAGATGGCAATTACGCATGTGTCCCCTCTGGAATTTGACTTAACTACGGCCTATTAGCAAGACTACACTCATTTACCGAGTTATCAGACTCCTCGTCCACATTTCCAAAGCCAATTTGCAGCTCAAGACAAGCAGAATGGACCTTTAACCTGAACAAGAAAGGGATGGAGCCAGAAGGCAAACAAGCTGAGCTGCAAAAGGGAAAAAAAATATTCACACAGTACAGATGAAAGTTTACTGTATGACCCTATTAACCTGTATGATGTCTGGATCAGTCTCCTATCCTACATCATTACGGGAAGGATAGCTTTACGCTCAGCAGAACTTGAGATTTTAACTCCAGTAAAAAAAATACTAATAAATACAAAGACATAATGGTCGGGGGCAGAATAACACTCTAAAATTCTCAGTGTCCTGCAATACTTATTTAATATGAATCCCAAACAAATCACTATTTTTAGTAAATCACAAACATAGAGCACAATCAAACAAAATTATTCTTATTAACGGTTCTTTTTTTTAGTAAATGACAAACATACAACGCAATCACTGTAGTCTGATTCCTGAACAAATGACTCTTATGAGTCAGCTCTTCTTAGAGAATCAAAAACAACCATAGGGTGCAATCGGTGTCATCCAGTTCCCAAACGAATCACTCTTATAAACGGTTTCTTTAGTAAATCAAAAACATTGACCACAAACAGTGTATTCTGATTTCTGAACGAATGACTCTTGTGAACAGTTATTCTTATAGTGAATCAAAAACATGCATCATAAACAGTGTAGTGTGATTCCTGAAACTTATGAGCCATTTTTTTTTGTGAATCCGAAAACATTCAGTGCAACCAGTGATACCTGAACGAATGGCTGTAATGAGTCAGTTCTTCTGAGTGAATCAAACAAATATGTGACCCTGGACCACAAAACCAGTCTTAAAGGGGTCATATGATGCGATTTCAAGTTTTCCTTTCTCTTTGGAGTGTTACAAGCTGATTGTGCATAGATAAGATCCCTGAAGTTGCAAAGACTAAATAAACAAAACCAAAGAGATATTCTTTATCAAAGTTAAGACTCTGCCACGCCCCCCTAAAACGGCTCATTCTAACACGCCCCCACATATCTACCCCACTATGTGGAAATATTTGCATAATCCCGCCGCAAATGTGCACGCAAAGAAAGAAGGCATGGTTTCAGTAACCGCAGTTAGTGTGTTTCTAGGCGAAAGCAAAAGCACTTCATTTGGCCTTCCGAAAGTAGATGCATTTAGGAATCTTTAAGATTACTTACAACAGAACAGCAATGCATTTTATGGACGACCGTTTCGTGAACCTAGGAGAGGAGGTAATTCTGACTTTGCTATGACAATCTGGCGCTTCTGAATCAGCTACTGTTTTGTTATTAGTTTAAGTATTTGCTATTGACTGTTCAAATGCAGAGTTTTGCGCATCACGTGTGTGTGTGTGTGTGAGCACAACAAACATTTATGGTACAAAACAAAACAACCCCTTACCTACCTCCCCACCCTAGGGACTTAAATCATACCACACTAATGGTGCAGCCAACACCGCATGATTACTCAGCCTACATTTTCAAGATATAGGAGAAGAGGAGACCAAATTTTATCAAATTTATCAAATTTATTTACCAACAGGAATCATTATAAATCTGAGACATCTGAAGTTTTGTGGTCCAGGGTCACATATATCCTACAACAAACTGCAGTATAACCTACTTCAGTTTAGTTACTGACTGGTAATTCATGTGACGTGTGTACAGTAGTTAAAGATACATATTCTAATTTTTGTCATATTTTATAACAATAAATAAATAAAATGTTACCACATTTTTTTATTTTATTTTATTTAATTTTATGTCTCTTCTACAGTTATAAGGGCAAATACTGGATTGTGATTATTCTGCCTCTAAAAACAAGCAGTTATTTAAAAAAAAAACCTGTGTAAACATACCTTTTGCAAGAATTAATAAAAAAAAATGTATTTGTTATGAAAGCATCTTGTTATTTGTCAAAAGAACTGCACTTCCCAATATTTATTCCTTAAAAGAACTGTTAATAGAATCATTAAGGAACCAGAATTACTGGCTGTCTTACAACTGGCAGGAGATAATGATCAGGTGTTGTAGAATTTGACGCTATAAGGATTAGCAATTCATTGCAGCATTCTGTAGCCGGGGAGGTGGCTAGTAGTAGAGGGCGTGGCCATGCAGGTGGGATTCTCATAAACCTTATCAGCCATTTATGAAGGCAGATTGATCATGAATGCTCTCAATTCAGCATCTATACCCCAGAACTAAAGTATTCAAGAAGCATGACTAAGGCAATCATTTATTAATTTGTCAAGGTAATACTCCTTCAGCTAACGATTCTCTGCAGATGGAGGGGGAAAAAAGTCAAAGCTCTTAAAACTAGACTCTATTTGCATTCTAATACCCCATGTCAGATTAACAAGAAAACCCCTGCCATGCAACCACACGTATAAACCTGCCTAATGTTCTATCGACAAATATATTAGGTTTCAAAGATGGCGTTTTAAAGGATTTGAGAGGCTTTCATAGAAAATGAAGAACATGTGCATGTGTTTCATTGATATTTGATTAAAAAAAAGAAATCAAATAATTCCAAGAGGGGGAAAAATCATATAATCAGACAACAAATGGATAAAATTCAGTTAACCTGATTTATTATAGAGCTATGGTTTACTCTGTGGTACAGAAGAACAAGTCACACCCCATATACTTCCATTGATAAAGTCTACAATTGATCCAGTAAATCCAATAACATGCTGAAGTCTGAAACTGGATCGAAATTTCAGATCCTGAAGACCTATTAGCTTGGGTCAGACCACAACATTAATCTCATAGCCGTCACTGAGGACTTACTATGCATGGAACTCCATCAAGTTATTACTTGATTCTTCCATGCTGGAGTTCAATGTGGAGTCAATTTGCTTTTCTTAAAAGAGGTAAAGGATTCCATAGAGGTGGAGCCCAATTAGCCTTGAGGTTAACAATGCAAGAGTAACTACCCTTTCTCCTAATGGCCTATTAGCACAGGAGTTTGGCGAGTGTGTCCAGAATGTCTATAGGTGTCTTTGGGCTAATGGTCTCCTTCAGACTGACAAAGACACTTCTAACGTCAACAAAAAAAGGACAATTTCATTAAGATGAAGACTAGCCTCTTTAATATCTCAATTGATTGCAGTGTAAACAGCGGTACAATTTAAATATAAATGTATTTCTCAGTCAGTTCTTCCAAGACTATATGATCCGGACTGTAATCCACATGCATTCCAATATACTTCAAGAAAGATGCAGAGACAAAATTTACTGTATGCATAACTAAAATTTACTGTTTACAGTACTTTATTAATTGACAGCAAAATCGACCAACCGATTTGCAGTGTTGGTATTTTTCCGATTCTTTTTTTAAACGTGTTACAAAATACTTCTATGGAAGCCCGTTTCTGCCATTGAATAAAAATAAAAAGGTAATTGAGTTTACATCTCACAATTCTGACTTTTTTTCTCAGAATTGCGTAATACAAACTCGCATTTCTGACCATTTTTCTCAGAATTGTGAGATATAAACTCACAATTGCGAGTTATAAAGTCAGAATTGCGAGATATAAACTCGCAATTGTAAGAAATAAAGTCAGAATTGCGAAATAAAAGTTTAAATTCTGACTTTTTTCTCCCAATTTTCCCGAATTTATATCTTGCAAATCTGATTCTTTTTTTTTTTTTCCCCAATTCTGACTTTTTTCTTAGAATTGTGAGATACAAACTCAAAATTGCAAGTTATAAAGTCCAATTCTGAGGGGGAAAAAAGACTGATATGTTCTGAGAAAAAAAGTCACAATTTATATCTCACAATTCAGACTTTATTTCTCAGAATTGCGACTTTATTTCTCAGAATTACGAGTTTATAAACTGACTGTATAACTCGCAATTGCAAGTTTATATCTCAGTTCTGAGAAAAAAGTCAGAATTGCGAGATGTAAACTCGCAATTGCGCAAAAAAAGTCAGAATTGTGAGATGAAAAGTCGCAATAACCTTTTTTATTTTTTATTCAGAGGCAGAAATGGGCTTCCATAGATTTCTATCTCAAATGCTGTTCTTTTGAACTTTTTATTCATCAAAGAATCTTAAAAACATTTATCACAGTTAACACAAAAATATTAAGCAGCACAGTTGTTTTCAACATTGCTAATAATAATAAAAAAAGCTTATTGAGCACAAAATCATTATATTAGAGTGATATCTGAAGGATCGTCTGACACTGAAGACTAAAGTAATGGCTGCTGAAGATCTATCTATCTATCTCTGTCTGTATATATAATAAATAAATGAGATTTTTACTTCCAGAACCCCAATGTTTTGCTCTACACACATTTCTGTCTTGTGCAAAATTCACAGGTGGATGCTATTGCCACAAAAAAAAGAGATGTTTATTTTCATAATCGTTAATCAAAATATAATAACTTTATCCTCCTCTGAAACAGCTCTTTCTTGTTTAACTAAAAAAAACTTACTGAATTAAAATACTGGTTTTAAGCTATAAAAGAGAAACCTGAGCATTAAAGTTTAACTCTGGGACATGATGCAACTTTACCATATTGCTAAAACTGGTGCTGATTGATCATACAGTATTTAAACGTATAACATTGAACATTAAGTAAATTATCAAGTAGGTGCTGCTATGCTAGAAAAACAACACATTTTTAAAAAAAGAGGCTGATGAAACCTTATGAGATCTCCATGTAACAGTCATCGAGTCTGTGTGGGGGAAGAATGTCAGCTCACCTGATGCAATGTCCACGCGCATGTTTTTCTGCTGAGTGACGTTAATGTGCGCTGTGACTTTTCCATCGTTTAGAGCCAATTCCAGCATTCCATCTGCCAAGGAGCTGAACAGGAGCAGGCCGCTGGGGTTCCAGGTACGGAACTGGAATCCCACAGACACCATATTGTGGTCCCTCCTCCCCGGCAGCTGCAGAAAGCTGGTGCTGTTGAAGAAGACGGGGAAGGTGTGTGTGTCCACGCAGGAGAACGTCAGGTTGCGCTGAAAATGAGGCAGGAAACACTTTACGTTTCCTAGACCTACTGAGATGGTTAAATAATTGTTTATGAGTCAAACAATTTCACGGCTGAACTTAGACCAGCTAACACCAGCTAAGACATTTTGCAAAACAGTCTCTGTACAGCATCAAATTTGATGTAACACACTGCATATTGTGTTTCTCAGATGCAACATCTTTAATAAACGTATAAAGCTGTGAAATAAAGTGACTAGAAAATAAATCTGCATCTGAAATGGTTGAGGACCTTTCATGTGGAACATGGGCTTAAATAAAGATCTCTCAAAGTGCTGCTACAGCATGTTCCCTACCATGCCGTCGATTTCGGAACCTTAAGCTGGAAAAGGGGCCGCATGGAAGCAACGACGAGAGGTTTTATTCATAACTCTCTAGCTCTACATCCTTCTAAATGGTAATTTCGAGGCACCGAATGCACTTCAGACTTATTTCAAAAATAGTGAACTCAATCAGTCTCATCACAATGAAATAGAAAAGTGCACTCAGCCTTCCTCAGCGCTTCATAACAGAACCTCCGCCCATGTGATGTGTTTTATCAACCTTGAACATAATCCTTCAGACATGAATAATAATTCAGAGCCTGTCTATGGTGGACACATGTCAAATTTGGAAAGGAGGAGAATTGTGCTATTTTCTCACTATTAAAGAGATAGTTCAGCAAAGAAATGAAAATTCTGACAATCATTTGCTCATCTGGTTCCAAGCCTGTATGACTTTCTTTCTTCTGTGGAACACAAAAGAAGATATTTATAAGATAAGAAGGTTTTTGTACAATGAAAGTCAGTGTTGTTTTGGACCTCAATGACTTTCAATGACTTTTAAATATCTTCTTTTGTCCAAAAGAAATAAAGTCATGCAGACTTTGAACGACATGAGGGTGAGTAAATGATAGAATATTCATTTTAGATTTCATTTTGTGCAGTACAAGCTTGATTGGTTTATTTGTCAAAAACTAAATCTCTGGAACAAAAACATGAATCTAATTCAACCATATTTCCATTTAACATAATGTTTGTCAGATGTTCTGTGACATGATGTGCTAGTGTAACTGTACGGCAGAGATAAGATTGTATTTTTCATCAGAAAAAACATTGTTTCTTTGTGTTTGTGGTTCCATTAATGAACCACAGAACACTGATATGCTTATCGGATATAATGTGCAATTACTGCATTCTACGTATTATCACAGGCAGTGGAAATTAGATTATTATCAGTGCTGACACCAGTCATCAAATCTGTGTAGATGATTAACATTCTCATCAGCATTTTGAAACAAATTAAACGGATCCATACAGCATAGATATTAGGTTTAAAATGCGAGCTCCATCAATATCACATCTGAACCGCTCTACATTCTGAAGCGTCAACCTTGCACAGTTCTTCATGGTCACACACCTCCACAAAACCCTCCAGGCAAAAACAACCCACCCAAATGTGTTAAATATGCACAGAACTGTCATGAACGGGAAAGTTATGCACTCAAACTCTAATTAGGCAGATATGGTTTGTGGAGTTGATTGAAAAGGGAACAAACTTACGAAACTAGAAGTGTCCAGTTTTTTTCTTCTGGCCAGGTCAGTGATGTTCTCTCCATTGTAGTTGATGCTTTCCATGCAGCCTTTGAAGTTTCTTCTTCCTGCTGAGACTGGCTTCCCAGAATAAGGCATTCCTCCAAAAGTCAGCTACATGGAAAAAATCAGACATATGTCAGAAAAACAGTATCAAAGCATTGCAATCCACCAAGTCTAACACAACAATATATACAGAGAGTTGGGTAAGATGGTTGGTAAACTGAGTGGCCTCCTTCATCTAGTAAACTGATTTTAAATTAAAAAGTTTTCATTAATACATATGTTGCTTGCTAGTATATGAAAATGCAAATAATGTGCAGCAAAATAAGATTTAATTTCGGCATTAATATTTTTTTTCTCATTCATGTTCATATTTTATTTTTTAAATGTAAATGGTTCCCATATTCACCAACTTAATAACCACTTTTTTTCTGTATCTTTTTCTTTTTTCTATTCTATTGTCCTATTTTCAAATTCAACTGATAGTACACTTGTACATTTAATTGAAATTGAAACTATGAAATATAATTAACAATATTATTATTACTTCTCAGCCACAAGCAAAAAATTTCAGCCTGCGACAATGGAGTAAAATTATACATATTTTTCTAAAATCAGATAATATCTAGCTATTGAAAGATGCTTAGTAAGTACTATTATTTAAACAATTTCAAACAGAGCCCAGAAAGAAGCACTAGTGCTTCAACAAAATTGTCGATAAATGCAATTGTTTGTAAATGCAGTCTGCGCTCCAGCAGAAAACCACTCACCAGTTTGGATCCGTTCTCGGCTCAATTAATCAGACACTTTCACTTTAATTGGGGTCAATTTGTCTTAGACCAACTGAGCTGTAACAAGCTCTGTAGCATCCAACAGTGCCAGGAGTGTCTTTGTTCAATTGAATAGATAAGCATTTGCTCTCAGACCATATTCTTTATGTCGCTGAAAATCAATTTCCTATACATTCCTCTACAGCACGTGTTAATACGCATAATTTCTGTTTGATAACATTAATGTTATGTAATCCTGGTACACGTTATTAGCGAGGATTAATCCTGTGCAGAGAAGCGGATTTGAAACGTTCCATGCTGAAAAGAATGACAAGGGATAAAAATCCCACTGCAAACAAAGTTTATCACAATGTGAACCTTCCTGAGACAAAATGTCTTGGTGTGACTTCACAGCTTTTTATCAAGCCTGAGCTTGAGATCTTTGGATTGGATGACATTGCAATCCACCAAGTCTAACACAACAATATATACAGAGAGTTGGGTAAGATGGTTGGTAAACTGAGTGGCCTCCTTCATCTAGTAAACTGTGTGCAATATTTGCACTAAAAATTAATATTTGCATAAACATGTTTTTGCATGTAATAGTACATTTTCTACATTTTGGTTCAAATGAATTTTATGTCAAAGTAAATTAACACAGGTCTATAAATATATGCCATGCATGTTGGTGAATTGCCGGTGTAAAATATAATGCAAATTATTCAGCAAAGATTAGGCATGATTTTTTTTCCCCCCCAAATTGGTTAAAGTTTTCATTAATACATATGTTGCTTGCTAGTATATGAAAATGCAAATAATGTGCAGCAAAATAAGATTTAATTTCGGCATTAATATTTTTTTTCTCATTCATGTTCATATTTTATTTTTTAAATGTAAATGGTTCCCATATTCACCAACTTAATAACCACTTTTTTTCTGTATCTTTTTCTTTTTTCTATTCTATTGTCCTATTTTCAAATTCAACTGATAGTACACTTGTACATTTAATTGAAATTGAAACTATGAAATATAATTAACAATATTATTATTACTTCTCAGCCACAAGCAAAAAATTTCAGCCTGCGACAATGGAGTAAAATTATACATATTTTTCTAAAATCAGATAATATCTAGCTATTGAAAGATGCTTAGTAAGTACTATTATTTAAACAATTTCAAACAGAGCCCAGAAAGAAGCACTAGTGCTTCAACAAAATTGTCGATAAATGCAATTGTTTGTAAATGCAGTCTGCGCTCCAGCAGAAAACCACTCACCAGTTTGGATCCGTTCTCGGCTCAATTAATCAGACACTTTCACTTTAATTGGGGTCAATTTGTCTTAGACCAACTGAGCTGTAACAAGCTCTGTAGCATCCAACAGTGCCAGGAGTGTCTTTGTTCAATTGAATAGATAAGCATTTGCTCTCAGACCATATTCTTTATGTCGCTGAAAATCAATTTCCTATACATTCCTCTACAGCACGTGTTAATACGCATAATTTCTGTTTGATAACATTAATGTTATGTAATCCTGGTACACGTTATTAGCGAGGATTAATCCTGTGCAGAGAAGCGGATTTGAAACGTTCCATGCTGAAAAGAATGACAAGGGATAAAAATCCCACTGCAAACAAAGTTTATCACAATGTGAACCTTCCTGAGACAAAATGTCTTGGTGTGACTTCACAGCTTTTTATCAAGCCTGAGCTTGAGATCTTTGGATTGGATGACGACTGCAGTGTGACCAGAATCCTACAGAAATCCTTGAGATTTCGGAGATAATTACAGAACTTCTATTTTTGAGTGTCTTAACAGCCTGTGTGGAAATGGGATAAAATCCAGCTGATGTCAAACTTGACCTACACAACATATGTTGTATTTAGGGAGCTGGTGTCCAAAACCAGGCTTTTTAACAAGCTTAGAGAGATATTCTAATGACATAAATGAAAATTCTGTCATCATTTACTCCCTCTGTCATTCCAAACCTATAACTTACTTTCTTTTCCATAAAATGGAAGTAAATGGGGACTGGAGATGCCAAGTTCTAAAATTACCAAAAACACACACCTTTAAGAAGTCCATGCTTTATATTCCAAGTCTTCTGAAGCCACACAATAGTAACCAACTGGCACTTTGTTTGAAGAAAAGACCAAAATTACTTTCCCACTGCCAAATCAAATCAAATATGATGTCAAAAAAATTACATCATGCAAGATTTTCACTGAATAATGACTTCAATATTGGCCTGGTCCCTCTCAAAGCTACTGCATCATATTGATGCCAGAAGACGTATAGAGAGAAGTCATATAGACTGCTTTTATGATACTTTTAGGATGCTTTTTTGTAATTTTACAGCCTGACAGTCTCAGTCCCCATTCATTTTAATTATATGTGAAATACCTTAGGGGATAATCCTCAACATTTTTTTTTGTGTGTTCACTGAAAGAAAAAAGTCAGGTTTTGATAAAGCTTGTTCAAGTCAGGTTCACTAAACTTTTATCAGCAATGCTTATTCAACAAGCATCACTAAATTTGTTATGTTGGTTTAAATAACAGAATAGCACCAAACCATCATTAATAGCATAAATCAGCTTGGATGAGAATGAAATTCATGCTTATTTAAAGTGAGAATTCTCACAGTATTTCCTGTTCATTTCCATCTTTGTGAGATCAATCTTTCTCAAGGAAAATTAAATAATTGTCACACTTTATTTTAAGGTCCAATTGTTGCCATTTACAAACCATTAACTATGACATTTGCCTCAATAAACTCCTAATTTGCTGCTTATTAATAGTAAGGTAGTTGTTAAGTTTAGGAATTGGGTAGGATTAGGGATGTAGAATATGGTCATGCAGAATATGTGCTTTATAAGCACTAATAAACAGTCAAAATGTTAACAATAGGCATGCTAATGAGCAACTACAGTAGTTAATAGTGAGAATTGGTCTCTATACAAAAGTGTTACCTTAAATACTTTTTTAAAATGACCTGTTATGGGGAGTAACATTTTGAGCTTCAGCATTCCCATAATGCATCTGCTTGTTAAATGAAGTTCAGAGCAATAAATCATTCACTTTCTCAGTTTCTCGTACCTCATAGTCCAGGTCAAGGTGGTCAAACTCCCCGTTGGTGCGGAAGTGCTGAGTATGCTGATCAAGGGTGAAATTGACATTTCTCCTGTAGCGCTCAATTACTACAGAATGCCAATGATGATCGTCCAGCAGACTGCCGCTAGTCACAGATGTATGGCCCAGGATGGAGCCGTACTGATTACTTCCTACAGTTTATTAGACATGGGAGACCATCGTTAATATCAAACACACAATATCTTCACCTTCACTGCAGAATAATTGATGGGAGGAAGTTCTGAACCCGTCTTCGCAAGGCATATGAGATGTTTATGTCCTTATGATATACAAGATAATGGGTTTTGTGTTTTACAGTCTATGAGTATTTCTTTTCCCTCCGGCTAGGTTTTTCTGCAATGCGGGAGATATTAAAGGGATAGTTCACGCAGATGAAAACTCACCCTCATGTTGTTCCAAACTTCTTATTCTTTGGAAAATTCAATGAAAACCTGTGTGGTTTTGGACCCCATTGACTTATATGGACAAAAACTAGTTTGTAACAAACAAGAAACATAAAATGTCTTCACATTTTGATTTTTGAACAAATAAATGTATCCTTGCTGAATAAACATATTAATTTATCATTTAAATACATAATTTAGAAATAAATAAATACTAAATAAATAAAAATAAAAAGTCTTACTAATTCCAATTGTTTTAATTACATGAAGGTGAGTAAAAACTGAGAATTTTCTTTTTTTTTTTTCTTTCTTTCTTTTTTTTGAGTGAACTATCCTTTTAAATGTAACTCATTTTTACCAAAGAGTCAATGAGCATCAAACAATCAATTAAATATCAGAAGACAGCAGGTATAAAGTCAATAAATAACCTGAAGAAATACTTACAGCAGCACATTAATGACAAAATTTACCCCAAGGTACACACACAACAGATATCTATTATAGGCATCAGATTTACCGAGGTTTATCTGCAGCAGTAGCCGGCCTCTCCTCAACTCCAAGGTAATGTAGTCACCCTGTTGCCCCTCTCCGTGCAGAATTACCCCTTCGCTCTCTGATGTTTTAAACTTCAGGGCTATCACGTCCTTCAAAATCTTCATCTTCTTCATTTTGAAGCGGTAAGAGATCACCCCCTGGCCGTCAAAATTAATCACATCTGCCCCTGTTGACAGGAGGAAGAAAGACAGGAGGAGGAAAAGAAATTAGTATCTCTGAGGTGACTAGGTGTCATGCCCATTTTTGGCTAAATGATCGGTTGAGTGACTGTTCTATAGATTGCTTGGACGAAAGCATGGTGAAGTTCACAGATAAACTGCGGCTGGGATCAGGTGATAAACTACAGTGAGGAGGCAGAAAATTGCAGTGGGCTATTACCTGCTGACAAAGCCTTTCTGCTTATTGCGCAGTGGAGGAGGATTTTTGATCCCTGTCAAGGCTCGGAATGATACATACCGGAAGTTATGAATGTAAATTCCTTTTGCGGCATCTCTCGCTCGCTCTCTTGGTTTCATCTCCTGCACTGACACCGCATAACCTTTGGATATATTACACAAGCTCACAGTGCCTTATGGCACTTGATTGCTTTGCAGACTGTCTTTATATCATTCAGAAGTCGTGTAAAATCTGTGATCAGCATGAGAAGGTAATTATAAAGAGAGCTACAGCAACATGAGAACAGAAAAATACAGACATCATCGTGTTCCCTTCCACCAATAAGATTGAAGTGGCATGTTTATTGGCTTGCTTTATTGAGAGATTGATTAGGTTTGATTTGAGCTTAATTAAAATGTAAATGATGGTGCTGATTTTGCTGTAGGATTGTGACTGCAATAACTTTGGATTAAAAGGGTCATAAAATGGTAAATACTTATTTTTATTATATATATATATTCATGTCTCGATGAGAAATGCAATCTGCAGCAGTATACACAAAGTTATAAAAATATATAATAAATATAATATATATGGCTGCTGAAAATTCAGCTTTGTCATCACATGTATAAATTACATGATATATTAAAATAGAAAACAGTTATTTTATATAATTCTGAATACAGAAATGTTTTAGAATATTAATGTAGTTTTACTGTATTATGATCAAATACATACAAAGAGACTGCTTTTAAAAAGATTGTATCAATACCACACTTTTGAATGGCATATATATTTATGTTTAATTAGCATTATGCTTAATATATTTAGCAAGCTTATCCTTGAATAATTTACACATATATATAATAATAATAATTATATATATATATTTTTAAAGAAACATACTTTTATTCAACAAGGACACATTAAATTTATCAAAAGCGGCAGTACTTTTACATTGTTTTACACTGTTACAAAAAATATTTGCATAAAAATGTAATGTATGTTAATTGAACATAACGGTGGGCGGATCCAAAAAATACACAAAAATAACACATGCGGAGTATGTTTCGGGTCTACAGTAAGTGTAATTTTAATGTCAGCCAATGAGTAAGATATTTCCATTATTTGAATGGATCGTTCATGCATTCCTGAGGCATGTAAAATCAATTTGCATTCATCAGCTTCCATTAGCAGTGTAAATTGCAAAATGACGCAACAACTGTAATTATTCTGGACAAAGCAGGTGAGAATATGCGTTCAGTGTAATCTGTCATGTGTAGTGTCTACTACGATTGTGTGTGTGCGTCTGTAGAGTACAGTCTGCATGTGGAATTAATTCAATTCTCTCCATGCACCCTGCTGGGGACTGATTACTACACTAATGCATGAGTATGTGTGCTGTGTCTGGCCAGTTGCTCTTCCACTCCTCTTGTCTCTCTCTCTCCATTGCCAATCCCCTTCACCTCCATCACAAATGCATTCATCCGTTCTCACCTGATCAACAAGGTCAGAGCACTGCATTCATTCTCATTCTGTGCTTCATCTCCACTGCAGGTCTTGCTTATCTAACTCCCATTCTTTCCCTCTATGCTTCCTGAGAAGGGCTATCTCTATTCCTTTGCTGCACATCTTATTTATTTTCACTCAACATTTCTGTGTCTGAAGAGAATCTGAGTGGCGGAAAAGGTCCCCAAAAAGTGTTTTTGTACTTATTAATATATTTCTGTTAGAAAATTCTGTCTAGGAACATGGAAACTGGATATTAACTGCTTCTGGCTGGTCATTAGCTGGTTTAAGATGGTCATATTTGGTTCAAGTTGGTCATTACCTAGTGTAAGATGGTTTAAGACAGTCATTGGTTGGTTTAAGCTTGTCATTAATTGGATTAAACTAGTTTAAGATGGTTATTATCTAGTGTAAGCTGGTTTAACATGGTCATCAGATGGTCATTAGCTGGTGTAAGATGGTTTAAGGTGGTCATTAGCTGGTTATTAGTTGGTTTAAGATAGACATTAGTTGGATTAAACTGGTTTAAAATGGTAATTACACCGAGTAAACTGGTTTAAGATGGCCATTAACTCGTTTAAGATCATTAAGGTCATTAGTTGGTTTAGGAGGATCATTAGCTTGTTTAAGCTGGTCATTATCTGTTTAAAATAGTCATTAGCTGGTGTAAGCTAGTTATTATTTGCTTTAGTATGATTATTGGCTGGTTTAAGATGGTCATTAGTTGGATTAAACTGGTTTAAGATGGTTATTATCTAGAGTAAACTGGTTTAATATGACCATTACCTGGTTTAAGCTGGTCATTAGCTGGTTTAAGATGATCATCAGCTGGTGTAAGATGGTTTAAGGTGGTCATTAGCTGTTGCAAGCTGGTTATTATTTGCTTTACTATGGTAATTAGCTGGTTTAAGATTGTCATTAGTTGGATTAAGATGGTTTAAGATGGCCATTAACTGGCTTTAGATGGTCATTAGTTGGTTTAGGAAGGTCATTAGATTGCTTAAGCTAATCATCATTAGCTGGTTTAAGATAGTAGTTAGCTGGTTCAAGCTAGTCATTAGCTGGGTTAAGCTGGTTTAAGGTGGTCCTTTGCTGGTTTAAGGTGGTTATTAATTGCTTTAAAATGGTCATTAGCTAGTTTAAGAGAGTCATCAGCTGGTTCAAGTTAGTCATCACCTAGTCTAAGACGGTTTAAGATAGTCATTAGCTGGTTCAAACTGGTCATCACCTTTTTGTAAGATGGTTTCAGATGGTCATTAGATCATCCAGGTGGATGCTGCACACTGGTGGTGGATGAGGAGATACCCCCTGACAATGTAAAGCGCTTTGAGTGCCTAGAAAAAGCGCTATATAAATGTAATGAATTATTATTATTATTATTATTAGACGGTGCAAACTGGTCATTACCTAGTGTAAACTGGTTTAAAATGGTTCGGGCTTGTTATGACCAAGTGTAAACTGGTTTAAAATAGTTCAGGCTTATTATGACCAAGTGTAAACTGGTTTAAGATGGTTGTCAGCTGGTTCAACCTGCTCATTAGCTAGTGCATGCTGGTCGGTAGCTGGTGTAAGCTACAGTAGTGATTAGCAGGTTCAAGCTGGTCACCAACTGGTGTTTATCAATTTAACATGTTAATTTAGAATGATAATTATTATCATTAGTAGTAGAAGTCTTAGTATTTTAATACTGAATATTAAATAATAACACAATAAAAATGAACACAATTATTCATGCCCACCTGACCAAAACATGAATTCCTTAACAAGAGATTTCAACAGTTTCTAGATAGCCCTTGTTGCAGGTCCAGCAGGTTAGCTTGGTCCAGCTAATGATCGGTTTAGAACAGGAAAAGGCAAGCTGCCGTGTTCCAAAACACAACTAACCAATTTAATTTGGATTTTCCAGCAGGGTGAGAATATGGTTTTTATTTATTTCACACTATGCCCTCATTAAAAAGCGTTTGGAGATGACGGCATCTGTGATCACCTGCACGAGATGATGAAGGAATATGAGTGGTTTCACCAGCAAGGAGCAAATGTGGATGAAACACTTTCTGACAGGAAAATCAGTGCAGCCAACTCCCCCTCTGCTCCTCACGAGTAGGAAAACAGCTTGAGGAATGATACGTATCTAAAGCTACCAGGCTTCATTCATACTTGTCATAAACACAAACATTCAGAAGAGCCAGGCGTCAGATTTATTTACACTATATATCATTATATATATAATATCATTATTTCAAAGAAAGTATTAAAAACAGAAAAAATGTCTTCCATGCTGCAGTTTTTTCCATCTCAAGGATTTTATTTTTCCTCAATCAATAAATTAACAAATGAAAAGAAGTAAGAAGTTTGAGAATCATGGTAAAAAAAAAAACATTAGCAAAGATGGTTCTTCTGGTATGGGGTTAAATGACAGATGATTACATCACTGCAATGAGAGAACTGTAAAACTCCTCAAACCAATTTATGGGGCGTTAATTGAAATTTGTTATCAAGATCAATCTGGCAACCATGACAACCAACATGAACCATGTTGGTGGTTCATAGATGTAAAAGGCTAGACTGAAATAAAAATGAAAAAAGAATACCAATGAACTGAAGCAAGTGGAATAATAACAATGCAATTAATTTACAGACATGACCTACAGGTGGCGCTCACTCTGTGAGCCACATTCAGATTTCAGGATGTTTTGACCTCACTGGAGACAGCTGCTCCAAAATACATCCACTCATCTGGAAAGCATTTCTGTTTAAATCCATGATTTGCAATGACATACCTTTCAAACAAATTAAAATCCAGCAAAGCTGTCTCTGTAAAATGATTAAATAAAATAGCTTATCCTTTAACCACAACATCATTGCTAAGAAAGATTATCTCGTATATGTAAATTTGGTGTTCAGTAAGTACTTTGTTTGTTTTTCCATGCACCTTGTTAGTTAAGTGAAGTTGCAACTCTACAATACCACTCAAATGTAACCAGTGTCCAAAATTAACATTCAATTCAATTTAATTCAATTTGAATAACACTTGCCAAGTGAAAAAAACTTGTATTCAGTTGTCAAAACATTCTATTGCCAAAGGGAAATAAATATATTATAAATTAAGTTATTAAACAAATTCTAATAAATTATAAACATTGCATTAAATTTACATTACCATATCTATAAAATTATAACAATATAATATTAATATAATTATAATAATTTAAGAAATAGCTATTTTTTTTGTCTACTATTTTTTGCACAAATCATGCAAATAATTTTCTCAAAACAATGTGCACAAAACTCTCAAATGTTTTCACAATAGTTAATAGAACTTACTATGTCAAAACACTTATAAAGTGTTGAACTATGATTGTTGATAGTACAGATTTTTGGGACAACTTCTGTTATTTACTGTAAATATCCAAAATATTTTTCAGAATTTAAGTTTGAGATCATTCAGGTGGACAATCAAGATTATTTTGAATGGAACAGGAGCATTGTTGACATGGTGGTCCGGAACAACACCACCAGCCACAAAGGAAGAGGCCTGTGCCGATGTTGAGACAGGGGCTTTTCAAGCATGGATTCAACCTTCTTACATTTTTTCTCCTATGATGCAAGCGCAGAAAATATGTAGTCTAGATAAAATGCAATGAAATTCTCTTCCAAATGTAAATGAAAGGCAAGATCCATAATTCAGGATAATTCATGTATACAGCAAACACACACATATACAGAATATATATATATTTCCCCTTCAGGAACTCGAGCTGCGTCCATGTCAGAGCAAATGAGAATCATGAGGTCAAAGGAACTGCCTGAAGAGCTCAGAGACAGAATTGTGGCAAGGCACAGATCTGGCCAAGGTTACAAAAAAATTTCTGCTGCACTTAAGGTTCCTAAGAGCACAGTGGCCTCCATAATCCTTAAATGGAAGACGTTTGGGACGGCCAGAACCCTTCCTAGAGCTGGCCGTCTGGCCAAACTGAGCTATCGGGGGAGAAGAGCCTTGGTGAGAGAGGTAAAGAAGAACCCAAAGATCACTGTGGCTGAGCTCCAGAGATGCAGTCGGGAGATGGGAGAAAGTTGTAGAAAGTCAACCATCACTGCAGCCCTCCACCAGTCGGGGCTTTATGGCAGAGTGGCCCGACGGAAGCCTCTCCTCAGTTCAAGACACATGAAAGCCCGCATGGAGTTTGCTAAAAAACACCTGAAGGACTCCGAGATGGTGAGAAATAAGATTCTCTGGTCTGATGAGACTAAGATAGAACTTTTTGGCCTTAATTCTAAGTGGTATGTGTGGAGAAAACCAGGCACCTGTCCAATACAGTCCCAACAGTGAAGCATGGTGGTGGCAGCATCATGCTGTGGGGGTGTTTTTCAGCTGCAGGGACAGGACGACTGGTTGCAATCGAGGGAAAGATGAATGCGGCCAAGTACAGGGATATCCTGGACTAAAACCTTCTCCAGAGTGCTCAGGACCTCAGACTGGGTCGAAGGTTTACCTTCCAACAAGACAGTGACCCTAAGCACACAGCTAAAATAATGAAGGAGTGGCTTCACAACAACTCTGTGATTGTTCTTGAATGGCCCAGCCAGAGCCCTGACTTAAACCCAATTGAGCATCTCTGGAGAGACCTAAAAATGGCTGTCCACCAACGTTTACCATCCAACCTGACAGAACTGGAGAGGATCTGCAAGGGGGAATGGCAGAGGATCCCCAAATCCAGGTGTGGAAAAGTTGTTGCATCTTTCCCAAAAAGACTCATGATGACTCAGATGGCTGTATTAGATCAAAAGGGTGCTTCTACTAAATACTGAGCAAAGGGTCTGAATACTTAGGACCATGTGATATTTCAGTTTTTCTTTTTTAATAAATCTGCAAAAATGTCAACAATTCTGTGTTTTTCTGTCAATATGGGGTGCTGTGTGTACATTAATGAGGAAAAAAAATTAACTTAAATGATTTTAGCAAATGGCTGCAATATAACAAAGAGTGAAAAATTTAAGGGGGTCTGAATACTTTCCGTACCCACTGTATATATATATCCACCACTGTGCTGTAAAAGACTGATCTGTAGTTATCAGAAAATTTTGTTTGCATTTCTTGCTGCTAAAGGTGGCACAAACAAATTTTAAGTTTAAAGGGGCAATTAGTTTTTTCTCATGGGTGACAGCAGGTGTTGGATAACAATTTTTATTTCGTTTAGATATACACAATATATATAAAACAAAACTCCCTGTTGAATAATTACAATAAACATGTATTTTCATTAGCACATTTGTGTATCTACAGCTGAATGTGTTTTATAATCATTAGAGAACACACCTATAGATTTGATGTTAATATTTAAAAAAATTGCAGTGCTTCATTTTGCAGTATAGTTGAACTGTTTGGTTAAGATAATTTTGTGTTTGGATGCCTGTGTTAAATGTTTTGAGAATAAGTACATTGCATTGGGGGAAAGTGTCAAATCAACTGAGAAAAACTGTAAAAGGTTAAATATAAATATTGTGAAGACCTAGACATTTTTGTTTGTCTCAACTTTATATTTACCCCAACACATCACACTGAAATATATTCTGTTTGATTTTACAGTGCACAGTATCAGTTCTCTCCTCAGTTTTAGTAAGCAGCAGGGTGTCATACTAGCAGACATCTGTGCAAATCATGAAAACTTGGATTTGTATGGGATGGATAGCCGACCTTGACTTTCAAAAAAAGTTGTGTCAGCCAATTTCCCTTAATTGTACCGGGATCTTCCCGAATACATATTGCCATCTTGCACTGCATATTAATCACTCTAGTGATGCAAAAAAGCTTAGAACCAAGTTTCCTCAGCATGAAAAGAAACTCTGACTAGATAAAACTGTCAGTTTTATACTGAGCTTAGCAAATGTTACAGCTATAATAAATATCAGGCTACATAATAAAAAAAAAAAATAGTGCACAGTTATTAGGGTGAAAATACCATCAGCCTTCAGTATCATGTAAATAACTTCCATATGATGCCGTCTTTGCTGATATTTACTCTATTGGATGATACTGATGTGAAATGTGACAGAGCAGAGTCAACTTACAATACGGGCACCCGTAGATCTCGAACCTGAGGCCGATCCGTCCTTCTTCACTCCAGTCTAAAGGAATGATGCGCAAATAACGGGCCACAGTCGGGTTTTGCAGGTCATGCCGAACCACACTCTCTGTATTGGAGTTACCTGCAAATGCCTGCAAGACAGATGTGAAATACGTTACGTTACTTCGACTTAAAACTATGGAAGCCCGTTTACGCCACTGAATAAAAAATAAAACCAGGTAAAAGCGACTTTTTTCTCGCAATCGCGAGTTCATATCTGGCATTTCTGACTTTTTTTCTCAGAATTCTGAGATATAAACTTGCAACTGCATGAAAGTCAGAATTGCTAGATATAAACTCGTAATTCTTACAATTTTCTCACAATTGCGAGTTCACATCTCGCAATTCTGACCTTTTTTCTTGGAACTGTTTTTTATATCTCGAAATTCTTTCGAAAATTCTTTTGAAATTCTCGAGACTTTATAACCTGCAATTGCAAGTTTATATCTCACAATTCCAAAAAAAAGTCAGAATTGAAAGTCAATATCTTTATTTCTCAGAATTGCGACTTCAAATTATTCTCAGAATTGTGACGTTATCTCACAATTTAAATTTTTTTCTAAAAATTACAAGTTTAAATCTCGCAATTCTGACATTTTTCTTATAATTGCGAGTTTACATCTCCCAATTCTGACTTTTTCCCGCAACTGCAAGCTTATATCATGCAATTCTGAGAAAAATTGCGGGATGTAAACTCGCAATTGCGAGAAAAAAGTCAGAACTGTGAGATGCAAAGTCACAATTACCTTTTTTATTTTTTATTCAGTGGCAGAACAGGCTTCCATATAAAACTAAAAAAATACCCCTTGCACAAATAAAACTCTTTTGCAAGTACTTCAATATCTACAACCATAAACACACTTCCAATAATTGCTTATTATTACAATAACAATAATTGTTAGTGTTGCGTCTTCCCCACAGTTTCTTCAGTGAAACAGTCAAACAGCAGATTTATGTCATATCTTTTCTAGTGTGGTTTTGAGTGATTTCATGAAACTCTCTACTGTCCTGTGTCAGAAGCTGTAATCACCAGACAAAAAAACCTGAAGCGACATGTAGTTGGAATCAAGTTGCACGGCTCTGTGGTTCACGTTGACCCTACGCAGCTTCTTGTGTCACGCAGAGCAAGAAATTGATGCAGTCGGCCATTGGGTGGTGGGGAACTTCAGTCACCAGACAGACCATGTGGGATTGGCGATAAGGAGCTCAAGGCCACCAATTTGGAGTGATGCGGATTACAAAACTTGCACTTCCCCTCTAAGGAAACCACTATTATATGGACTTTATTGTACAACCGGGGATTTCATGTCAGGAACATGCTGAACATGTCAATATTGGAGGCTCCATACGGTGGTCTGACTTTAATGTTTGAAGTGCTGATTACTGTGCTCTGTAGTGGCCGACTGGGGAGTGTTCACTTCATTTTTCATTGCTAAGAGAGAAAACTGAGTTGTTTTGTGAGGTTTCAGGTGACAGTGTTTTATAGGTGGACCTCCTGGGCACAATGAGTAGGCTATTCCAACCCGATCTCAATTTGTACATATTTTACGAGGTGGCTAATTTTTGCTAAATCGTATCTATTTTACGAGTTCCCCAATTCGAATGAATTTGTACGAATGACCTAACCCTAACCCCGGCCCTAAACCTACCCGTCACTGGGGTCTAGAAAAATCTTGCATCTAACAAAATCGTAGGAGTGAGGTTGTACGAATTCCTACGAATTAGCCACCTCGTAAAATACGTACGAATTGGTTGTGAGATAGCGTTGGCTATTCCACAGAACAGTGGTTTTCATACTCGGCTCCAAAAGAGGGCGCCACAGAAAAATTGTGAGAATATAAAGTATTTTACAATAACCTTTTGGTATTTGAAACTGTTTAAAAATTACAAAATGTATTTTATATCATTTAAATAGAAAAATCAAGCGTAGCGTTAATTCTGGAAGGTCACGTTAGTCAAGCTCGCATCAGCTGACTCTACCTATAGGAATACGACAACTATCTAAGCATTCATATATAAGGTCCCTCAGTTTTATCAGCAGTTTTCGCATTGCTCAATAGCTAATTACCTTCCTCCATCCCCAGCTCCTCCTCTGTCAGTCAGGATGCAGCCTTCTGAAACAAATAAATAAATAAATAAATAACATCTTAAATATCCGCTGACCTGTTTTTACTTCAATTGTGTTTAGAAAAGCTGATTAATCCACATAAATCTGCATTACTTCACCCAGAATTCAGGCTAAAAGTTCTGCCTTCATGACCAGAATGACTCAATTCTGTCGCAGTTAATTCCAGATCCAGATCTTAAACAGTCAGTGAGTGTGCAATTAGTTAGCCAAATGTGAAGTCACCCTCAGAGCTTTGCTGCCTTGCATGTTGTTTAATCAAGCACCTTCACAAAGGCCTGACGGAGATAGAGGCTGTCTTTCATTAGTGGAGAGTCCGGGTTTAGGCAGGAAGCCAGCTGTAACTATCATAAGCAGCACACTCACTGGCTTCCCATAGTATAATTAAAGTTGCTTTTACTTATTTTGTGTCAAAGCTCCTGGGTCTCTTCTTTCTTTAACAGCTTTGAACAGCCATCCTCTCTTCGCACATTTCTCACTCTGAGAATAGCAGAAAGACACTGTTCTGAACTTTTCTTTAGCAGAAATAAAAGCTGCCGGTCTAGAAAACAAACATGCTGGAATCATTACAACAGCAAATTAAGTGAAGCTTAGAAGAATAAAACAGGTTGACCTTAAAACAATTCATTAGACACACAAGCGCTCTAACCATCATAACAAGAATAAAACATGTTGGTTGTTCAAGATCGATGATTTTCTCTTTCTTCACTTGAAATTGTTACATGTATGAGTCAGGCATGGGTGGGAGTCTTTATATACCAGTTTTGCTTCCTTCTTCCATGACAGTTTAATATATAGCTGTTGAATAATGGCGGATTTGTGGATGGCTGCCAAATATAACATTAAGGTCTTGCAGTTGTTGTCACTGTTATTTTATGAAGCCATTTTTTTTGTTATATCAAGAAATCTATTGATTTTGTAATATTTTACTTTAAGAGTACGGGGAACCAGGAAATCTTTTCTGGTAACCTTTCCTACTGAAAATCATCAGAACAATCCATTAAAGCTAAGTACATGACCAAAGCAATCTGAGAAGGTCCTAAATCAAAATTATAGTGAATCACGCAGCTGTCACACATTGTGATCTAGCGCATTAATCTGTTTGAAGTTCATATCACATTTTGAATGGCTAATTATTATGCAAATACAGGTGCAGACGTTGTTGGGGTCTTAAATGATAAAATTAAATTCTGTAAAATTCCACATTGTACACATATATGTGACCCTGGACCACAAAACCAGTCTTAAGTCGTTGGGGTATATTTGTAGCAATAGCCAAAAATACATTGTATGCGTCAAAATTATTGATTTTTCTTTTATGCCAAAAATCATTAGGATATTAAGTAAAGATCATGTTCCATGAAGATATTTTGTAAATGTTCTACTGTAAATATATTAAAACTTAATTTTTGATTAGTAATATGTATTGCTAAGAACTTCATTTGGACAACTTTAAAGGCGATTTTCTCAATATTTAGATTTTTTTTCCACCCTCAGATTCCCGATTTTCAAATAGTTGTATCTCTGCCAAATCCTAACAAACCATACATCAATGGAAAGCTTATTTATTCAGCTTTCAGATTATGTATAAATCTCCATTTCGAAAAATTTACCCTTACGACTGGTTTTGTGGTCCAGGGTCACATATATATATTACATATAATTGACTACATTAGAATGTATATGCATGGAAATATACAGATGCTTTCATCTTTTTGCATTTCATACAATGTTTGGTTGCTGTAGATTCTTTCATATCACTGAATAATACTTAAGATGATATGCTAAGTTAGTATGATGCTGAAAAACCAACATTTTACTTCAGTGTCAAGGTGATGAGCATCTCAAAGCGAGCATTCGTGATTCACTGCGGAGACACACATTTAGAACTAACTACATAATTGCAGCCTTGCTTAAATGATTTATGGACATTCGAATGCTTTTATGTGGAATTGCAACCACATTTTACAGTGGAATCAGCAGGACTCCCGGCGATGTCTCACTGCCAGCAGAGTGAAAGCAAAATGTGATCCAGTATTTAAGGAACCATTATCCTCCAACCGAGTGCATTTGGCACCCTCATACTTTTCTTGCCACTTGGGGTTGTCTTGACAGATGAGGTGAAGACAGCTTTTCTCTCAGAGACCAAGAGCACAGCCGAATCAGTCAAAATGCCAGCCGTACGCATATGTGTGAAGGGCTGACAGGGGCGGCCAACTCAATGACACTCTGAATCGGGTACATTAGCAACGAGAGACTCACTCAGGAGTAGAGTTAAATGAAGAAACTGACATGTGGATATACTTAAGTCTCCTCATTTCACTGAGTAAGCAGAGTAAATTCAAACTCAAAAGTGAGCTAATGCTGGACAGCGTAGAAATTGGCACTGAAAGTCCAAGAATGGTACACTTTCTACATTGTGTCATTATTAAAAAGAAATTAGAAAAGTTTAAGGTCAAAACAAAGAAGTCTTGGCTTATTTTGTAGGATATGCATATAAAGTCGTAGGGATAGGGAAGTCGTGGCCTAATGGTTAGAGAGTCGGACTCGTAACCCAAAGGTTCTGTCGTAACCCCCAACTGCTCCCCGGGTGCCGCAGCAAAAAAATGGCTGCCCACTGCTCCGGGTGTGGGTTCACGGGGGGTGTGTGTGTGTGTGTGTTCACTG